TTCGAGGTATAAAGAGACCCATGAATTTGTGTCCACTAGGAAATGTAAAAATTCAAATATACTTCTGAACTAGTTTCAGGGATCAGCATATCAATTGAAAGGTCTTGTGATTTTGAAGACTTCTTCAAAAACTATTCAGAGATTTCTTTTCGTTGTGGAGATACGCTGAATAGAAATATTTAGGGGCCACCCCTGCAAGTCCTTAATGGGGCCGTTTGACAAAAATTGAAAGGGTGCATATTGTTTAGAACATTAAATCTGACCATGTTTTGTTCAGTATTGCTTCTCAAAATATTCCCCCTTTTTGAGATATAAAGCATCAAAGATTTAGCATTCTGGCCCCTTGTGACCCCTTATTACGTAACATATGATCAGAATCTTATCATATATTGTTGTAAATTGTTAAGATAAGCATCTTTGCTTCAGTAATGTATTACAAATTAGTGATCTTTAAAGAGTTATAGATGAAAGACTTTTGACCACTCTGAGCCTAATTTGAAAGGTCAGCTCATTATTCTTGATATCAAATGAAAGATCCTGTGATTTTGAAGACTTTTTGTTCAACAACTATTCAGAGATTTCTTTTCGTTGTGGAGGTATGCCTAATGAAAATATTTAGGGGCAACCCCTCTAAGTCCTTAATGGGGCCGTTTTACAAAAAAATGAAAAGTGCATATTGTTTAGAACATTATTCTGACCATCTTTTGTTCAATATTGCTTATCAAAATATTCTCCCTTTTTGAGATATAAAGCGTCAAAGATTACACATTCTGGCCCCTTGTGACCCCTTTTTTCGTAGCGTATGATCAGAATCTTATCATATATTGTTGTAAATCGTTAAGATAAACATCTTTGCTTCAGTAATGAATTATAAAATATTGATAGTTAAAGAGTTATAGAAGAAAAACTTTTGGCCCCTCTGAGCCCCTAATTAGAGGGGTCAGCCCCTTTTTCTTGATATCAAATGAAAGGTCTTGTGATTTTGAAGACTTTCTGTTCAACAACTATTCAGAAATTTATTTTCGTTTTCAAGATATGCTGTACTGAAATATTTAGGGGCCAGACCTTTAAGTCCTTAATGGGACCGTTTTGCAAAAATTGAAAGGGTGCATATTGTTTAAAACGTTATTCTGAACATCTTTTGTTCAATATTGCGTATCAAAATATTTCCCCTTTTCGAGATATAAAGCGTCAAAGATTTAGCATTCTGGCCCCTTTTAGCCCCTTATTACGTAAGATATGATGAAAATTTTAAAACACATAGTTGCAAATTATTAAGATGAACATTTTTGCATCAGTAATTTATAACAAAATATTGATCGTTAAAGAGTTATGAATGAAAAACTTTTGGCCCATTTGAGCCCCTAATTTGAAGAATAAGCTCTTTTTTCTTGATATCAAATGAAAGGTCTTATCATTTTGCACATCTTTTGTAATATATGTTTTAACAAAATATTTACAGTTAAAAAGATAAACAAGAGGCCCATGGGCCACATCGCTCACCTGAGCACATTGGCAAGGCAAAAACACAAATCAGTTCAGTACTGAAAAGATTACGGGGGGGAAGGGGGGGGGGCTTGAATTTTAAACTACCTGATGATGCTTCCATGTCAATATATAATTTGTTTAATTTGTTTTAACAAATGGCTTCGTTGTACTTGAGAAGATTTTTTAAAAAATTCCCATATATTCCTCTGTAAAAATGTGATCCCCCATTGTGGCTCCTCCCTATCCCAGGGGTCATCATTTGAACAAACTTGAATCTACACTACCTGAGGATGCTTCCATATCAATATGACTAAAGAAGAAATTTTTTTCTATATGTTCCCTTGTAAAACTTTCGATCCCCTTATCGGGCCCCACCCTACCCTCGGGGGTCATCATTTGAACAAAATTGAATTTATACTACCTGAGGATGCCTCCATATCAAAATGACTAAACATGATTTTCAGTTCTTGAGAAGAAGATATTTTCCTATATGTTCCTATGTAAAATTTTCGATCCCCCATTATGGCCAATCCCTATCCCCTGGGGTCATCATTTTAACAAACTTGAATCTACACTACCTAAGGATGCTTCCATATCAAAATGACTAATCATGGCTTTGCAGTTCTTCATCAGAACATATCTTCCTATATATTTCTATTTCAGACTTTTATCCTCCATTGTGGCCCCACCCTACCCCCGGGGGTTATGATTTGAACAAACTTGAATCTACACTACCTGAGGATGCTTCCACATAAATATGATCAATCAGGGCTTTGCTGTTCCTGAGAAGAAGATATTTAAAGATTTTTCCTATATATTTCTATGTAAAACTTTGATCCTCCATTGTGGCCCCGCCCTACCCCCGGGGGATCATGATTTGAACAAACTTGAATCTACACTACCTGAGGATGCTTCCATATAAATATGACCAATTAGGGCTTTGCTGTTATTGAGAAGAAGATTTTTAAAGATTTTTCCTATATATTTCTATGTAAAACTTTGATCCTCCATTGTGGCCCCGCCCTACCCCCAGGGGTCATGATTTGAACAAACTTGAATCTACACTACCTGAGGATGCTTTCACATAAATATGACCAATTAGGGCTTTGCTGTTATTGAGAAGAAGATTTTTAAAGATTTTTCCTATATATTTCTATGTAAAACTTTGATCCTCCATTGTGGCCCCGCCCTACCCCCAGGGGTCATGATTTGAACAAACTTGAATCTACACTACCTGAGGATGCTTTCACATAAATATGACCAATTAGGGCTTTGCTGTTATTGAGAATAAGATTTTTAAAGATTTTTCCTATATATTTCTATGTAAAACTTTGATCCTCCATTGTGGCCCCGCCCTACCCCCAGGGGTCATGATTTTGACAAATTTGAATCTACACTACCTGAGGATGCTTTCACATAAATATGACCAATTAGGGCTTTGCTGTTATTGAGAAGAAGATTTTTAAAGGTTTTTCCTATATATTTCTATGTAAAACTTTGATCCTCCATTGTGGCCCTGCCCTACCCCCGGGGGTCATGATTTGAACAAACTTGAATCTACACTACCTGAGGATGCTTCCATATAAATATGACTCATCATGGCTTTGCTGTTCTTGAGAAGAAGATTTTTAAAGGTTTTTCCTATATATTTCTATGCAAAACTTTGATCCTCCATTGTGGCCCCGCCCTACCCCCGGGGGTCATGATTTGAACAAACTTGAATCTACACTACCTGAGGATGCTTCCATATAAATATGACTCATCATGGCTTTGCTGTTCTTGAGAAGAAGATTTTTAAAGGTTTTTCCTATATATTTCTATGTAAAACTTTGATCCTCCATTGTGGCCCCGCCCTACCCCCAGGGGTCATGATTTGAACAAACTTGAATCTACACTACCTGAGGATGCTTCCACATGAGTTTCATCTTCCCTGGCTTTGTGGTTCTTGAGAAGAAGATTTTTAAAAGATGCTACTAATTTTCCACTAATTCTTCATTATCTCCTCTTGAAAGAGGGCGTGGCCCTTCATTTGAACAAACTTGAATCCCCTTCACCCAAGGATACTTTGTGGCAAGTTTGGTTGAAATTGGCCCAGTGGTTCTTGAGAAGAAGTCGAAAATGTGAAAAGTTTACAGACGGACGGACGGACAGACAGACAGACAGACAGACAGACAGACGGACTACAGACAAAATGTGATCAGAAAAGCTCACTTGAGCCTTCGGCTCAGGTGAGCTAAAAAAGAAAACGTGTCAAATTTTGCGAGATGCTTGTGAGCCTATTTTTCGAGCCCAGGCAAGCTTTGGCGCCTTTTGAGCTGGAAAGATATAGATGCCAAATGGCACATCTACAGTCTTTCCTCTATCTTCACTGAAAATCTTATCCCTTTATCTCTATTCGTTTAGGAGAACACCCCAGGACAAGCCGACCCTCTGAAAATCAGAAAATCGTCCATATCTCACGACCGGAAGTGACGTCATCAAAAAACAAAAAAAACCTATCAAGATCAATTGAATATCTTTTACATCTGAAAATTTGATGTAAATCGGCCCAGCCGTTTCTGAGAAATCGTGTGCACAAAATTGGTTGGAAGAAAAATAATAATAGGGAAAAAGAAACCGAACGAAAACAATAAGGTCTTCCGTTGGAGACAGAAGACCTTAATTAATCCATGATATCAATCCATGATATCAAACCGCCATAATCCATTGTTTTTACCTTAAAGCAGGAAAATTTGTTATTTTCAGATAGGTGATATCTGCACTTGTATCACCTATTAAACTAGGTGATAACACCAATTCAAAAGCTTAATAGGTGATCACATAATGGCAATAAATACCAAAACAGCCCCTCATGTACAGATTCATCTCCAAAAAGTAATGGTATTTCATTGACTACTACAGCATATACCATTACTGTGTATGATTGAATTTATAGTCTTAATGTTTTGATCGTGTTTAAGATATGCAAGCTAGCACACAACAATAAAACTGTAATCATAGTCTTGACATGATCAAGTTAGAGTGAAAATGAAGATATATGTGTATTTTACATTATAATAGGAGGATGGATAGTCCTCAAAATATGTTAGATACTGGATGGCAGTGGATGCAGCAACAATTACTGATAATATTCTAGCAAGTGTATTTGTTAGTTGACAAAGGCTATCTATAAATTTATTATTATACTTTGCTAGACCATCTGGCCTTTCACTTAGGATTTATACCTGTGTTTCAATTAGACTTTAATACTGCATATATATATAAGGATTCAGTGTTTATAGTCATTCATTACACTGACAATTTTCAAATTGTACTGGTATCTTGAACATATTCAATATCTCTAATACCATGGATATGTCAAAGTGAGTTGGAGGTCCCAATCACTTTTCCTATATGTATTTAAACCTTAATTGATATCTCGAATCATCAGACATTTATCGAGGCTTTTTCTCAGCCCCATCATGTTTGAGATAGTAAAGTTTGACTGTATACACACTTTTTGTATTTTTCAGGAAGATCATGATAGACATCCTCCTTCAGAGAGCCAGTTTGCCATCAAACCAGAGGTACAGAGACTATCAAAGAAAGAGGTGAGCACAAAGCAGGATTTCAGGTGTATTCGATTTGTATTTGATTTTACAAAATATAGCAACTCTCAGTTTTAATGCAATATGGTATACCATTAAGAAGGGGGATATTAAATGGTTTTTGGCCTTTCTGTAGACACTTGATTTAAGCCTAGAGATCTCCTGAAATTGCATAGCTCTCATTGTCAGTGATCTCAGCTTGGCATTTTACCAGTAATTCACTGATCCACCGGACCAGAGTTACCATTTTAAGATTTTGGTCCTGTATCAGGATTATATCTGTCCTTGCGACCTGGTGACTCTATATAAAATATAATTTATTAGAGCAGGCCCACTTTGTAATTATTTTGACTTGGTTGCAAAATACACAGCTAATTTTAAATGGCTATATGAAATTTTAAATATCTACATAGTTTTACAATATTTTTTTTTTTTTTTGGAGAATTTCTTCTTGTAACAGTTTGCTAAATATTTAAAAGCAGAATGGGTATAAGAAGCTGTATACAGACTTGATAAGTTCAGGCTTTGGTTTTCATCAGTAAAGATTTTTACATGATAAATTGCTTAGATTTTCCCTAGGATCCTAAAACCATTGTATGTACGGACATCCTGTAGATCAATTAAGAACAGATAATGTATATTGACAAGTCAGCACTGTAAAATTGAATAATGCAGAAACAATTCTGGGATAATGACCATACTGTTGAATCCAGATTTGTTTTATGGTTAATATTTGTTGAATAAGATCCAACTGCAAGCTTTATAGCTCCAAAAATCACTGAAATTTGATTTGCAAAGCATATGATCTGACAATTAATGTTTAAGGTTGCCCGCAGAGCTTTTATCTTATATCAATAATGCGTTCAGATACAACAATAAAGCACAGTAATTATTATGGTTCTATAAGCTTTCTATTCTCCTGACTTAAATTTCTTGTCATACACGTACATATAAGGAAATGAGGGTCATTCATACATAAGTGTGTTAGATGGATACAGCAGTACTGATAATAGAAGCAGAAATTTTTCTTATGTTAAATTTTCTGGTTAATTCGATCAACATAAACATGATAAATGTGATGATGTTGGGACTATTTTCGTATTTTTATGCATCTGCCATTTGTGACGTAACTCAGTTTATCACTTTACTCGCAAAGTATTTTAAAGGGTGTGCAATGTTCTTTATTGGAGAACCTTGCATAAAGATCAGGGTCAAACAGATCTCTAATCTTCTGCCCAGTCTGTGTGACTTTTTTTTTTTCTCTTTTTAGGCTTACCTAAGCCAAAGAAACTGTACACTTCTCACATTTTCATCTCCTCCTCCCAAACCACTAGGCCATTTTGAACTATAGTCGCAAAGCATTTTTGCAAAAAGGGGATTGACAATTATTAAATGAAGACTCATATCTTCTTTTCAGGAGATATTTTAGAAATAAAGAAAACATGAAATCCACCCCTCAAGAGCCATTGGCCTGAAAAGATAAAACATATATGAAAGCTTTCTTACATCAAGTTTTTTTTTTTTTTTTGAAATCATGGACCCTTGGTTAAGAATATGGCTGCAGTAGGGGGTCAAATTTTTTATGGAAATATAACAATTCTTTTAAGGACAGCATGTCCTCAATAAGTCATGGTAATTTATTATATAAGCACCTTCATGCAGTGTAGATCAAATTTGAAGAAGTTACAACCATGATAGGCTGGATGGAACAAAGTTTAATGCAGAAATATTTTGACAATTGTAAGAAACAAAAATACCACAATTTGTTAATGTTAAACTTCAGTATACTGTAAGTATGAAATTATTCACATCATAGACTTTAATTTGGGAAAGCATGTTGAATCAGGCCAGCATTGTGGCCCAAAGACCTCGTCTAAAATTAAAGTTGCTTTGGGATAGCCACTATCTCAGAAATAGGAAGTCTCCCCCCCCCCCCCCCCAAAGAAAAAAATAAATAAAACTGAGGATAGCTTGTTGTTTTTGTTTTCCAGAAACTGCTTTTGATAAATTAGAAGTCAAATTTGCTGTATTTTGACATTTCTCCTTTCACACTGTGTTGTAAGCTAGGACGTCATAGACAAAGTAATATCAAGAGAATGTTTTTGGCACGAAGTCATCATTTATTTGACACTTTGAGGGACATGTGTTTTTAAAAGGCAGAGACCAGAAGAGCTTATGCGATAGGAAGGTGTCCGTTGTCCGTCCGTCTGTCTGTCTAGCTGTCCGTCTGTCTGTAAACAATTTTTCAAAACGCTACTTCTCCTACAGTTTTGGTCTGATTTCAGTATAACTTGGCACACAAGTAGACTACACTAAGATACATAATTTAGTGCATCGGTTTTTGATTTTGATGAACGGTGTTGCCATGGTTACTAAAAATAGAAATTTCTGTGAAATTCCTTTAAAACGCTACTCCTCCTACAGTTTTGGTCTGATTTCAATATAACTTGGCACACACGTAGACTACATTAAGATACATAATTTAGTGCATCGGTTTTTGATTTCGATGAACGGTGTTGCCATGGTTACTAAAAATATAAATTTCTGTGAAATTTCTTTAAAACACTACGCCTCCTACAGTTTTGGTCTGATTTCAATATAACTTGGCACACAAGTAGACTACACTAAGATACATAATTTATTGCATCGGTTTTTGATTTCAATGAACGGTGTTGCCATGGTTACTAAAAATAAAATTTCTGTGAAATTCCTTTAAAAGGCTACTCCTCCTACAGTTTTGGTCTGATTTCAATATAACTTGGCACACAAGTAGACTACACTAAGATACATAATTTAGTGCATTGGTTTTTTTTTTATTTCAATGAACGGTGTTGCCATGGTTACTAAAAATAGAAATTTCTGTGAAATTCCTTTAAAACACTACTCCTCCTACAGTTTTGGTCTGATTTCAATCTAATTTTGCACACAATTAGAATACACTACGATAAATAATATGTATTTCGGTTTTTGATTTCAGTGAATGGTTTTGTCATGGTTACTAGAAATAGAAATTTCTGTGAAATACTGTCAAAACGCTATTCCTCTCACAGTTTTCGTTTGATTTCAATATAACTTGGCACAGAAGTATACTACATTAAGATACATAATTCTATTTATTGTTGCATGTTGCAAAGTTTCAAATCCGAGTGCTACTTTTCCTTCGTTATACGTACAGACCAGTAGAGCTACAGTCTCATCAGTGACTTCTGGTTTTTTTTGCTCTAAAAATATGTAATACAAGTCACAAACATAAATACTTAAATGAATTGAACTTCCTCTTATGTTTTAAATAATAACTACGGGACAGTAATAAATGCCACTTAAACTAGCTATGATTCAGGCAAACTTTACAGCATCATGTATTGAAATTTTAATACAGCAGTTGATAATCTTCAATTAATCAGCTGTAATCACAGATTGTGTTTTTAATACTTTTAATTATCATGAGTCTCTATGTGTGCTATATTTGAATATTTGAAGACATTTTGCTTTCTTTAATATTCAAAGGGAGATTGTGTTTATGAACCTTTTTATTGACAAATCTGATAGGCATGAATGAAGTCTTGAAGTATGGGTGGAAGTTATTAAGACACATATAGCTAAAACAACTGTGATAAAAATTGTGTCCATAGCAATGATTTTCCTCAGTCGTAAGAGTTTATGGAGTCTTAACATTGTATTTATTATCAGCTACAGCAAAAAGTAGGGGGGGAAAAGTTCCTGATTATGGCAGTATAGGGATTAAATAAAGCTTTCTACATTTGTAAAGTACCTTAGCCAGAGACATAATGGGAAAACACCATTCATAAAAAATTCATGGGACCAAGGGCATTATTGGATTTGCTGGAACTTCCAGTTTTGCTGCAGTATTGCATATAAAATGGGAATGTACAGTTATGTTCATAGGAAATTCAGATGGCTTTTTGAAATCATTATTTATTTTGGATGAAGCCTTAAAAACTGAGGTCTTATGTCATGGTAGAAGTTGGCACAATAAAGACCCCTCACTGCTCAGTGGCCCAGAGTGCCGAGAAAAAGTCTAAATTTGAAGCCCTTCACCTGTATATTGTTACGTCTGTATATGTGTGAAAAATACTCAAATGGGATGTAAAACAACATACAATCAATCAATCAATTAAAGTTTATAATTTTAAATAAAATCTACATTTAGCATTTAAAGTAATTTAAGTAAATTACAAAGTAATTAAATATAATTCATTAAAACAGAAAAGATAATGATGGTGCAGATGCTTGACTTGGTTTTATTGGATAACCATTTGATGCATTTGTGTAAAAATGAATTTAGACTTGCATCAGTCATTATTACTTATAAATCAGTTTTTTGATTTAAGTTCCAGAAGCCTCTCTAGACCTAGATTATTCCTTTTCTCAGTAGCTCTGAACCAAACCAACAACAAAAAGCTTGACATTCTTATAGAAGAGTAATGATTGCCTCTCTTTCTTTGTCCAGTTTGAGCTTCTGTACATTGAGGTTTTATACACCATCAAGCATAAGATTGGGACTACAGCAGGTGGACATTTACCCTACATACAGGACTTGTATCAGTATGCCCAGGAAGCCTTCAGAATCTCACCCGAGGACCATGCACGACTGCTGGCAAAGGCCACAGAGGAAAAGGTAATAGCCACTTAGAACATCATTCTCCATTATTTAGGTTTACTTCATTCTTAAATTCTTTCAAATTTTCAATTTGAAAATGAGATAAGGCATTCATATGTAATACGTGTATTGCCTATGACAAGCATTTCCAAATGTACTGTGATTTTTAACTAGACCTTGAAGTTTGACCTAATTTTCAAAAATTTTAGCATTGCTGATAACTTTTGATTGAGAGAAGATATGGCATATACATTTGACATGTGCATTACCTGTTTCAAGACCTTTCCAATTGTATACTGGTTTTTGATATTTTTTTCACATGTGCATTAATTTTGACAGTATTTGACCTCATAACCTTGATCTTGAAGTTTGATGTCGTATTGAGGAGCTGTAATCTTTTCATAATTGTTATTAATTCAATAATTTATGTCTTTTTTGTATGATGCTCAGACAAGACAGGACACACGTACAAGACAGTTACAATATGCCATAAATAATGGCTTCCCATCCACTAAGAATTTTGCTTGTTACTTTTTAAAGTCTATTTAAAAATCAATATTCGATGGTAACATTTTTGCCCATTGGAATTTGTTTTGACTAATTTATACAGGTCTACTTTTTTGATTCAATGTAACATGCAATTTCATTGGTTTTTGGAATTGAGATATATTAATTCAGCCAATCACGGGAAGTTTCACTAGAAACATTGGTTGCATTAATGGATGCAACAAACCTGAAATGAGAATAAAAAAACAAAAAGTGTTAAAGATGTTGTTTGAAGTATTTTTTCAGCTGATTGTTAGAAATTTTATTGGAAGCATCGACTATGGTAACGGATGAAAAATTCTTATAATGTGAATTAATAAACAAAAATGTAAAAGATGTTGATAAGAGTATAAGTAACAATTTTCAGTGATGTTTGTAATTTCTTCCCTTAAAAAGAGATATATTTTCGAAGTGCCAGAAAATGCTCAGAATGCTGGATTTTGCACCCTTGGCCTATTTGGGGTCATCTTTAAAAATTTGCTGTTTTTACTTCAGAATCGTGTTTAACCTTAGGGCCAGAGATTTGTCAATTAAAAAGTAGGTCACAGTGACTTCCTTTTGTATTTTATCATTATTCATAATCAAATCATTAGATCTTTGATACTAAGAAGCCTATATAGGAGCATCAAACCTTGTCAGCTGATTCATCTTGGTGCCAAGAGATGTGCCAAATCAGAAATAGGCCGCAAATCAGAAATAAGTCACAGAACATTGTTGTGCAATTTATCAGAAGAGTGATTCTAGGCCCTTTGGCTTCTAAATGTTGTTTTGCCAATGAAATAAGTTATTTTATAATATACATTGTACTAGTTAGAGTAATCTAACTGTGTCTCGGGACAAGCCCTCACCACAGTTAGAATACGTCCCATATAATTGCAATGTAGCAAATCAGAGTGGATCCACTCCGAAATGATTTTGAAGAATACAAAAGGAGTTACACTGAAAATAACTACCAAATTAATCATAACAAACCTTTATGAGATTGTGTATGCCTTTTAACCTAAAAAATAATCCATATAAGTACAAAAATTCAACTCATTTTCTCGACATTTTTTTCCTCGCTTCAAATTTAATGCCATGATGACATTCGGAACTCTCTGGATTAATTGTTCATAGAAAATACACAGAGTTCGAGTTATCGCCCGTGTTTATTTTGCAATGTACATTGCCAATACACAGAACAAATTCTATCGTTAAACCTGGTCCGTAGGACAATATCATTTTAACGATAGAACATTCTATCTAATTTTATACCTGAAAACTCTACATCCATTCAAATAAGTTATTTAAAACTATATTTTAAAAGATGGGAAAAGAATTTTAAACAGGATTTTTTTAGCCATATAATACATCTAGCCATTTCTCGAACTTCAGTGTTTAATTAAGTCTAAAGATAAAAAAAATTGCACTAATGGGATAAAAGTGGGTAGTTGATAATGAATTGACAATGTTCTTTCCTTTATTGGCCTTATTTTAAAGTTTGCAATTCCTTGTTATTATTACGTACTGTTTTCCTTTCTCCTTGAAGGAGATTTTGAGACAGTGGACTTGAGAGATATTGGACCACGCTGTTGCTTAACTACAATAGATTTCCTTCTTGAACCTAATCTCAGTATAATTTGCTCTTGCTGTTCAACAGTTTATTGCATAACCAATATTGAGTGTGTTGAATTGGCAGTGATTGCATTTTATGTGCAGAAAATAAAATAAAATAAGCCATTCACACGAAGCAAACATGGTAATATTTGTAGTTCTTTAATTACTTTTCATCAACTCTACACAACTTTAGATTAGGAAGGCTTTTTGCAGAGACTTGTTTCTGAGGAGAAAATGTCAGATGTCAGCTGAAGCAATCACAAGTTACATATGTACATCTCTTCCATGAATTAACTTGTTTATGTTATTCTTTGCAGCCACCCATCGTTATACTCAATGTGACAGTCATCAAAGCGAGGGATTTAGAAGCCAAAGATGCAGATGGTAATGCATTCCCATTTTATTGATGGGAAATTTGCACTCTTTTCAATTATTTTATTTAAAAAGAAAAATACATACAATGCCTCCTACTGCATTTTGTAATCTTTTTATGGACAAAAATAGTCATTAGTCATAAAAGCCAGTTTTAATTACTTTTGCTTCATGCAAACCAGAGCTGCATAAAATTTCATTTTGATATGAATTAATCTTGTGTCTAGAATAATTCTTAAAAAAAAAAATCATAAGCATTTTGCCAAATGCAAATCTTAACTATTCCTTCGGAATTATTTGGCATGTGAACAAAGTACACAATCTTTTTTTCTGAGGGGAAAAATTAGGATTAATTACTAAACAAAATCTTCACGTGCCCATTTACATAATTACAGCTAGGAGGTCATTAAAGGTAAATAAGAAATGAAGATGTCAGCTGGAATCACCCAATCTGATCCTCTTAATTAAGACTTGACAATTTTTTAGGTTAGAAGTCTGCCCACAACATTTAAAGGAGAAATTCTAGAGGCAAAATGGATATTACACTGAAAGTAAAGTGTCACAAGGAAAATGTATTTCGATGCTTCTTTAGAGTTGTAGCATTCCAGCAATTTACGTCATTTTTAGATGAAAAGACACAATTTGAGTTTAACCGGATGGGTCTTTGATTAAGTCTTCCCAGTTTCCTTCTCTTGACAAGTGCAAATTCATTATTATGGTGATGTGTGTCTTTCATGCAATACTGTTGAAGGGATTGGTTGATAAGGCATTACAGCAAAACTGTATACTCATTAATGAAATTTTAGAAAGAAAAATTGTATTGGATAAACCCTTTTAAGCTCACCTAAGCCAAAGGCTCCAGTGAGCTTTTCTAATTTGTGTCTGTCTTCCTTGTTATTGTCTTTATCATCCTAAACTTTACACAATTTCATCTTCTTTTCTGAATGAAGGGTGTCAGGTATGTGTCTGTCTTGTGCCGTCTGTTGTATGTAAACTTTTCACATTTTCAACTACTTCTCATGAATCTTGAGAACTTGGCACAAAGCATACTTGGGTGAAGAGGATTCAAGTTTGTTCAAAAGAAGGGCCACACACTCTTTCAAGGGGAGATAAAACACGTACAGAATAAGTGAAAATTTAATGGCATCTTTTAAAATTCTCCTCATGAACAACTGTACCAGAAAAGATGAAACTTAGGTGAAAGCTTCATTACACAGTGTAGAATTCAAGTTTTTTCAAATCATGACCCACCCAGGATAGGGTGTGGTCAAAGTTGTAGATAGGAAATATCTTTAAAATATTTATTCCCAAGAACACAAAGCTATGATTAGTCATATTAGTACAGAAGCATCCTCAGGTAGTGTAGATTCAAGTTTGTTCAAATCATAACCCTAGGGGCTAGGTTGGGGACACAACAGGGGCTCAAACATATACATAGGAATATATAGGAAATATCTTCAAACTTCTTCTCAAGAACAGCAAAGCCATGATTAGTCATATTAGTACAGAAGAATCCTCAAGCTGTGTAGATTCAAGTTTGTTAAAAAATGACCCCTGAGATATGGTAGGGCAGCAACAGGGGAACAAATTAATATATGGGAAATATATAGGAAATATCTTTAAAAATCTTCATTTCAAGAACAGTAAAGCCATGATTAACCATATAAGTGCAGAAGCATCCTGAAGTGTAGATTCAAGTTTATGCAAAAAATGACCCCAGGGAGTAAGGGGGGTTGCAACAGTGGATCAAGGTTTTATATGGAAATATATATAGGAAATACAGTCAAACCTCGGTATCTCGAACTCAGTGGGACCAAGAAAATCTTCGAGATATCCGAGGATTCTAGATATCCAGGGAAAAATACTTGAGGAATAAAGGGGTTTTGACTTCCAAATCACTTTGACATATCCTTGGTATTCGAGATTGATTTCAGTGTTCCAGGAACGGAAGTTCAGCTGTATCTTAAAAAATCTTCTTCTCAAGAACAGTAAAGCCATGATTAGTCATATAAGTACAGAAACATCTTCGGGTAGTGAAGATTCAAGTTTGTTCAAATCATAATCTGGGGTTGGGGTGAGGGTAGGGCCACAAAAGGGGACCATAGTTTAGTTCAGAAGTATCCTCAGTTAGTGTAGATTCAAGTTTGTTCAAATCATGACCCCTGGGTAGGTTGGGGGCAGCAACAGGGAATCAGTTTTACATAGAAATTAGGGATGGCAATGAATATTCGAACATTCGAATATTCATTCGATGAGTTGATATTCGAATATGAATTTAAGATTCGAATATTCAGTGTTTTTCAGATTTCATAAAAAGAAGTACTGTGATTAATAAATTTTTATTAGAACAGTTCTGGGATTATCCCCGTTTAATTTACTAGCGATCAATTTCGATCGCCTGGTTTCTTTCACTACTTTCTTAGCTTATAAATCTACTAAATAACATGTATTTTGTTTTGAGTAAGGTGTTAAAGAATTGTACATTAATGCTTTATGTATAATACAAAACATACTTTCATAGTTTTTATTAGTTAGATACGTTCGGATCTAGAATCGAGGACAACAAATGAAATCTAAGAATGTCTAAAAGGCGTGAAGAGTATACTTATCAAAATAAGATGTTGATCATTGAATGAATGTCCGATAGAAATAATCTGTAATTAATATTGTAAAGGGCTTAATTTCAAAATAAATATGTAAATTACTTCATTATCTCGGGTTGTAGATAATCCTGAATTTTATATTCATTATCGGGATATTAGTTAATTACTTGGGAAAATTGTCTATGGAAATATTTGTTCACATTGTATCAAAGATTATAATCATATCTCTTATCAGGCAGATAATTTTAATTTATTACACGTATTGAAATCTGAACAGTATACCGTTACGACTATCTTGCACTTTGTAAGACAACTGGTTCCTCAGTTGGAGCTACTATAAATACACTTTTCATTTGTTAAAATTATACTTTTCTACATTTTAAAAATCAATTATTTATTTCAAACATTGACAAATATCAAATGGAATTTCTTATTATACACCTACAAAAGTCTTCATACAATTTTACTTCCAAAATAAGTATATCTACGCTAAACCTTTCATGAGAGTAGGATGATGCATATTTAAGATAAACAGATTTTATTCATTTTATCGAATATTCGAATATATTCAAATACTTTCATTGAAGATTCGAATATGAATTACTGACAAAATTGACATCCCTAATAGAAATATATTAGGAAATATCTTAAAAATCTTCCTCTCCAGAATAACAAAGCCATGATAAGTCATATTAATACAGAAGCATTCTCAGGTAGTGTAGATTCAAATTTGTTCAAAATATGACCCTCCAGGGTAGGGTGGGGCTACAAAAGAAGATCAAACTTTACATAGAAATATGTATTGAACAAATCTTTAAAAAAATTTCCAAAGCCATGATAAATATGGAAGCATCCTCAGTTAGCATAAATTCAAAGTTGTTTAAGGAGGAGAAGGACCTTGAGCTGAAAAAATACTTGTCATTCAATTTTTTTCATATTTTGTATATTTCTAATTAAGTATGTCCCACATATCTTAAAGCAGTTAAATCATTAGGTTTCTTACCTTATTTTGGAGATATTGATTGACAAATACTATGCCCTACAGTATCTAAGTGGAGATTTAATTCTCCATGTTTCCGGGCGCATTACTATGTCCATAAAGGGATTTTTTAAGCATACATAAAAAATATCAAAGTGGACATGTATCTTTTAAAATATTTCAGAGTATAACTAGGATTTAAAATTCGAAAAAGCAAGTTTTGTCTATCACACTGCATCTGGATAGGGAAAATAATGCACTTTTTAGGACAACTTAAACAGTAAAAAACGTAATTTACAAAAAATTCTATCATTCAATATTTTTTAATTTACGTTGAAATGCAAATCCTTCAAATTATTGATTAACTGTAAAAGTTTCGAATGATGAAGCTGACCTCATTATTTCACAGGACATCATTAAAGAGGACATAAGCATGACAAAAACATGTCATGTTACATTTCTCGAGTACGGGAAAAACCAACTATGACGTCACACGTAAGCTACATAAGTGAAATAAGATATACCTACATAAGATTTCCGTCATCAGCCATGCAAAAATAATTTTGGTGTTCCCCGTTTCTCAAAATATTTCATCATATACTGATTATGACCTGTTTTTACATAATAATACCGCCCCTCTGTTCACCGAGTATGATCTTGCTGTACTAACAAATCATGTATGACGTCACCGACTTGTTGGACGCGCAGTTTAGGGAAAGAGGAGTGGATCAATCTTTTTCATAATTTGTTAATGTTTACAAGAATGTTAAAACTTTTTTATTTTTTTTTATATAAGATGGTAATTAAAGTTAAAAAATTGTCAAAAAATTATACAAGAACTGATGCTTTACACGTTTTGCGCTTATATAAACGTAGACTATGACGTAGTTAAACAGAGTCATGTGACCATGTGTCCTTCATCCCCTTAAACCCTGACCTTTTGGGACCACTTGTAGATTGAAACTTTTCAATAATGAACTGATATCTGCTTTTTTCTTGCCAAAGTGCTCAGGTGAGTGATGTAGCCCATGGACCTTTTTGTTTTCACTTGTGTCTCCATTTTCTCCCATCGTTGCTGTAAACATGAAATCGTCTGATTCATGAAAAGTACTGGGACATCCCCATACATTTTTACATGCTTTAGACATGTTAGATGTGTATGGAAAATCTCCTTCATGTTGACTACAAGACTGACTACCAGCTTATTTTATGTAGATTCAAACTTGTTTAAATCAAAGGCTATTAGGTATGGAAAGGGCTTCAAATGGCAATTAAAATTTTACAGCATTAGTAATGTACAGAAATTGCTTTCAAGAATTACTAGGCCAAAAGATGTCAAATTTGTCTGAAAGGATCCTGTTGTGGAGAAAAATTGAATTTGTTGCTATCATGGTCTCTGGGGCAGGAATTGTACCACTTAGGAATGTGAAGTTAACATGTAAATAGATGAAAAGGCTGCATTGTTTCATTTTTAAGTACTATAAATGAATTTTGAAAAAAAAAATCATTCCATAAAGGGCAAGGCTACATATTGTCAATATATTACAAAAATGTCAACGAATCCTTGTCTATATGTCTTTGCACTGCGACACTCAAATGACCTTTAAAGCCTTTCATTCCACTGGTTCCTCAAAGTGAGAAGTCCATGCTTCATTGAATTCACAATTAAAATTCATCTTTATACTCTTTCTCAGGTTTCAGTGACCCCTATTGCATGCTGGGAATCATGCCAGGTCGTCTCTTGGATCAGGATCTCTCCAGTTCACCTGTAACACTCTCAGACGAGGAGGATCATCATAAAAAAGAGGAAAAGAAACGAGGAGGAAGTCTGAGGAAATTCTCCCTCACAAAGAAAAAGAAGGATAAGACCGTGAAAGAACTCCTGCCAGCCAAGCTGATCAAAACCACAGATGTCAAGCCCAACACAGTCAATCCTGTGTGGGAGGAAAAGTTCAGATTGTATGTATAGGTTGATACACCAAATAACCTCTCAGAATGGATTTGTAGCCAGATTGATGTAATTTGAGAAGTCAGTTGTGATAAGTCATTTTTTCAGATTTTCATAATTTTGTCTGGTCTTTGCTTTTGATCTTGCAAATCTACTTAAGAAGAGAGCAAGCTGTTTGTAGGTGTCGAAGGACAGTCTTTTAATTTTCCCCAATTCTGAAATTAATAAAAGGGAGAAAGGAAATTTTTGACGTAGGTTCTTGTTATTCAGATCAGAATTCTTTTTTTTTTTTCAGTGATCTGGATGATGTTCGCTCTGACAGACTACATTTAGATATCTGGTAAGTGAGCCAGGCTACCAAATTGTTGTATTAGTTACTCCAGTTCTTAAATAAGTTGCCCAATTCATATGAGTAGTTACTTGCATTAGTAATATATTTCCAGAAGTTTAATTAAAGCTGCTTAATCAGTAAATCAAATTTACAGGGTCTGCAGTAACAGTTATTTGAACAAGTTAAAATAATCAGTTACATGAACTAGTGACAAATGTACAGAAAACCTACATAAACAAGTATGCACTCTTGCTGGTCAATAAACACAGTGTCCTACTTTTGGAATTTCAAAATTACATCTCGATATTTAGGATACTAAGAGGCTTAGAATTATCAAACATCAGTTCATGTATCTTGAATCTTCAGATTGTGCCAGTTAAAAAGTGGGTCACAGTGACCTACTTTTGGAATATCACAGCTAGGTCTAAAAAAAAATTTCAGATAATAAGAGATCTAGAAACATCAAACTCTGTCAGTTGATGCATCTTGCTTCTAAGTGTGTATTAACCAAGAAGTAGATCACAATGAGCTACTGTAAAATCCTTTATTTTCATGGGTTAAAATTTCTGTGGTTTGAGGGAAAAATATTGGTTTATGGGGATTTGATTTCATGATTGAAGAAGTGTTGAGTTGTTATATATTTGAAATTTTACTTTTTGTAGAGGATATGAATTCAAGGGTGTCTTCATACCATGAAAAACAACAAAAATTAAACTCCCAATAAGATTAGTGATTCCACAGTAGTTTTGGAATTTCAAGGCTTTATCTAAATATTGAGGATAATAAGAGGCATAGAATCATCAGACTTTTTCAGTTGATGCATCTTGGGTTCTAGGAGTGGGTATTCTAAAAGTAGGTCACAGTGAACTATTTTTTTTTATTTTTACAATTATCTCAATGATTATATAGTAAGAGGCCAAGAATTAGTAAACTTGTGCAATTGTTCCCTCTTGGGTAGGAGTGAAACGGTTCACCGCGGTATCGATGCACCGCGGTATTTTTTCTCGGTTTGATACACGGTGCAAAATCTCTAATTTTCGGTTCGGTTCATTTTTCGGTCGGGATCGTTATTCAGTCGGGTTTGGCATAAGGTATAACACGTTACTCAGAATAAATAAGTATAGAAAACGTAAATTTTTGATGACTGATAGCTTGTAAAATAATTTTTGACAGTCAAATAATTTTAATCAATTTCTTCTAGTCAATTTGCAAATAAAATTCGTAAAATATGTGACTAGATTTAGAAAAAGAAAGCATAAAACAACGTAGAATTTGTTTCCTTCTATCAAAATGTATCGTATCGAAAATAACCGAACCGAGACAAAATTATACAATACGTATCGAACCGTGAAGGAGGTGTATCGTTTCACCCCTACTCTTGGGTTCATGGTGTGTCGACTCAAAAATCTGAAGAACCATTGGGCCAGAAAAGATGAAACTTATGTGAAAGCTTTCTGATATAGTGTAGATAATTCAACTTTGTTCAAATCATAACCCCTGGGGAGAAGGGGGGGGCACAATAGGGAGTGTTAAGTTTTACATAGGAAAACTTAGGAACAATGTTAAAAATCTTCTTCTCAAGAACAACAAAGCCATGGTTAGTCATATTTATATGGATGGTCAAATCATGACCCCTGAGGCTAGGGTGGGGCCACAATGGACGATCAAAGTTTAACATAGGAATACATAAGAAAAATCTTTTTTCTTAGAAACAGCAAGGTCATGTATGGAAGCATTCTCGGGTAGTGTAGACTCAGGTTTGTTCAAATTTGACCCTGGAGTAGGGTCTAGGTCCACAATGGGCAATCAAAGTTTTACATATGAAAAACATAGGAAAAATCTTCTTCTCAAGATCAGCAAAGCCATGATTAGTCAAATTTGTATGGAAACATCCTCAGGTATTGTAGATTTAAGTTTAATTTGTTCTAATCAGAACCCCTGGGGGTGGGTTGGAGCTGCAATGGGTGTTCAAAGTTTTGCGTAGGAATATATATACAAGAAAAAGAGTCTGCTTCTTATTATAAGAACAACATGGCCATAGTTACTCCGGTGAGTATTGTGGCCCATGGGCCTCTTGTTTAGAATATCACCATCATCAAGCAGTATTGACTGTTGCTACATTCTGTACCACTTAAGGGTGTGGTTTCATCATTCAGAGGGTTGTAGTGTTTTTTTAACAAATATTCCTTGACAAATCAGCTTCAAGTAATTTATGAAAGTACATATATAATATAACTGAATAGTGACTTAAGAACTGAGAGTAATCATAGCCTCCTTCTTGTAGGGACCATGACGATGAATTCTCAGTAATTGATGCTGCTAAGAAACTGAATGAAGTCCAGAGTATGAAGGGACTGGGGAGATTCTTCAAACAGGTGGCTCAGTCAGCTAGACCCAGGAGGAAGGGAGGAGATATTGATGATTTCCTTGGTTGTGTTACAGTTCCCATCAAAGTATGAACAGAACAAGTTTTTTTAAAAAAAAAAAATTGGGGGTCGGGTAGGGGGAAGGGGAGTGGGCATAAAATTTGCTAGTAAATCATAGGGGTGTAATGATATGCTTAAAGTGTATCATGGTATATTATGTTACATTGAGACTGTAAAAAGATATGTATTTCAACATTTCACCTTTTGCAATTTTTTATATAGTTTGTGTGTTTGTTCTGAAATGAGAAATTCTCTATCACAATGTTCAAGGATAAAACTTGTAGATTATTCTTCAGTTTACAAGTATATTATGTAACATTTAGTATGCTCTGAAAACACACAAAAACATAAGTAAATAAAGAAAATTACTTTTATTAGGTGAAACTAAAAAGAAATAGCATAAATTGCTTAAAATGTTATGTATCATGATACACAGGTATACAGAATTTGTACCACTATAATGTACAATTTTTTTGTGCATTGCAGTATAATATTGTTGCACCCTTAGTAATTTACTCTTCTTGGACCTTTTAAAAACAGAGGAGATAATTTATATCAAATGTCTATTTAATAGCATAATTAGGACTAAACAATCAAAGTGTTATATGAATTATGTTTATGGAATTTATAGATTTTATATTCATTCATTACTGGGAAATCAGGGATGTGCATGTACAATTTTGTTTCTTAAAACAACATATATTCATTACATCCCCTCACAACAAAGATATGTATCTAACCCTTCTGTGTGTACAAGCAAATGCCTACCGTAAGTTTTGGGGTATATGTCGATGGGGTGTATAGGTCGAAAGGCTCATTTTCAGCCGTAATTTTAAAAAAATCCTTAGATAGGACGAATTCGGAAGATAGGACGAGGCTTTGTTTATCGATTTCTAGAGATTCTTACGTAGATACTACGTATCAGAACATGTAAACCTCTTTATCTTAACCCGTGATATTAACGTATTGAGAAAATAAACTAGTATTTTTATGAGTACAGTATTTTAATAGTGTTTTATACAAACGTAGTTAAAACTTCCTTGAACTGTGATGTAACGTATTTTCTCCAACTTGCCTGTTCAATGCCGTCGTAGTTTGACTCTGTCGTTAAACACATAAATACGGTAGTATAAAACAGCTATAATTAGGGAAATACCCGAAATCAAACAATAATCATTTCCATTTTAGAACATCGTGGACACATTCTTTTATTCCGACATTATTTACCGGGGTAAAAAATTAACTTCGATGACTGCCATTTTTATATTTTCTTGTCCAGGGATTTGCTAAAACACGCAAATGACCATTACATGTAACAGTGCGCAAATGAAATTAATCATATTGACATGCTATAATTTTGCATGAGATATTGTTGTAAAAAATAAATTTAATTGAGAGTACATTCGCAATTTAACAGTCATCAAGAATTTCACAGTTTTGTTTGTTCAATGATGTATAGCACTAATACCCCTGTAATGGCATGTGGATCTGTTAATCATGCCCCGCAGGTGTTTTAACCAACACAGGTGTTAACACCTTTGTCTACACAGTGTATATCCCTTATCTGTCAGACAATTAAAATTCTATTAGAAGTCAATCTTTGTATAATTCAGTGTACTCCTTGGGTACGAGGAAGCTTTCAATTCTATCATTTAAAAAAATATTTATTTTGTAAAACAAAAACAAAAAAACTGTGAATAAAAAAATAACGTATCGTAAATAAATGAATTTATAACTTCCAAAAATGTATAATAGTATATTCAAGATAAGTTCGTTTTATTATAATTAACTAAGATATAAAACAAAATAGTTATTACTAGCAGTATATTTGGTAAATAAATTTAGGAATTTACTGGCAACAATTTACTTCACGCATTTTACATTTAAATAAATATCACAAGACAATGAACAAATATTTAGGCATACTATTTCAATTAATCGTTACAAATAAATGGTAAAAAAAAAAGATTACAATTGCGATTGTGAAAACTCTTCCGTATTTTAAATTTTGCGGTTTTCTTTTTAATAAACGATTGTGACTTCCAACTTCACAAGATGGACACAGCATGTTGTAAATATACTTTGAGACATTAATTACTAGATGATATACAGGTAATAAGTTTTTTTTGTACATCGACGGATATTTAATGGAACTTATTTTGTAAGAAATCAATGGAATAAATATTTAATTCTTTATTATTTTTTTCTCGGTAAAATAATTTTAAAAAATACAAAAATGGCACAGATTTGCTTTAAAATTGACGTAAATTTTACTGATTTGGAGGCATTTTTCGTAAACTTGAGCCTTAGATAGGTCGATTCGTTAAATAGGACGACCCCAGCGGTTCTGAGAAAAAAAGTATCGTCTTATCTTCCAAAACTTACGGTACATTTTTTTGTGCACATATTTCATCCGTAGTAAACTTAATAACTGAGTTGAGAACATGTTATATAGTTGCATGTGTACTATCTTACTTTCAAGTCTCAAACTTGCTACAGGAGCTTACACATAGGTGACCAGGGGTTTCAGATTCAGAAGGTCAAAAGTAATTGTGAATCTCTTAACTATGAAGTGGACATATTATTAAGTACCATTTCAATTGCTGTAAAAGCATGAGATAAGCAGAGGACTATGCCTCCCTAATCGAGGGTCAAAATGGGGTCAAAGTTAATTCAAAGTTAAGGTTTCTCTCTGGACAAAGTATAAAGAGTACCTTTGACCTTTCTGTATTCAACTTGCTTTAGAGCTGGTGGTTGACCTAGGAACAAGGTTTTTGAATGGAGGATCAAAAGGTCAAGGTCAGAAGTAGCATAATTCCATAAAAGCCATGTGGATGTAAGTAGAGTATCATTTGTAACCTGTATGTCACACTTGCTATATAGTGTGATAGATTTGGTTCAGAAATGCTCAGAGGCCTGATAAAGAATTTGGAGTCCAAGGTTAAGGTGAAGGGCATTGAAAAAAAACTTGTATAGCTTCATAACAATTTAAATATTGCTGTGTCAGAACTCAGTGTTACATGTTCAGTAAAATCTGATGTCGATAGAAAAAGGACAGTTTTCTTAGTATTGGACAGTGATGGGCTTTCATAATTTTACAAACACTATATCATTTATTATCATTATTTTTTACCTCATTCATAATTTCAAGCACTTAGCTGACGAAGATACGCACAATATTTATCGATAGATTAGACTAAAATAACATCAGGCTATTTGAACAAATTCTCAAAAATTTATCAATTTCGTAATTTGTCATTTTGTAGTGGATAATTTCTCCAATGCAAAATTGGAATTGTACAATCTATTACTGGAGGCTTATATAAAGTACAGCCCAGAGGAAATTGTGTTGGGTGAAATTAAGAATAAATCATTCATATTTTTGTTTTGTTATATGATAAATCACTAGTCTTATTTCCTACAGGACATACCATCAACAGGAGTGGAGAAGTATTTCCAGTTACACGGAAGATCCAGTAAATCTAACATCCAGGGAGAAATCAAACTGAGGCTTCAGCTGGCTACAAGGGAGGACCGAGGACTGGATGAGGACGATAACTGGACAGATGTCAGACAGCATGAAGACCTCATCTGTCTCTTCATCGAACATGAAGTTAGGCGGTTAAGGGTAAGGTACATTCTTATCATGTATTTTGAGGTGTATATGAAATATTTGCATTAGAAGAGTTGTATCTTAGAAAATAGTAGAAATCAACCCCTTTTATTTTGTGTAAAGATTTATTACATGTAGTGCTTATCTATCTGTTATGCTAATGAACAGTTTCCAATACATTAGCTCATACACATGTAATTCCAATGTAATGCACTTCTGAAAACTTGAACAATCATTTAAAACTGATTTAATTGATGAAAATATCATAGTAAATGATCGATAGAATATTTACTAAATTAAAGTTTTGGGTTGAATTCTTTAAACTATTTAATATTCTTCTCCTTTAACAATCTTAATTGTCGTAATCTCAAGGGATGTGAATACATTTGTAATATTTTGAAAATGTTTCTACCTACCAGTTACATTCAAAGAATAATGACTATATAATACAAATTACATCAAGATATACCTTTCACAAAGCTGTGGAGATCTCAATTGGCAGCTCCTGCTCTGAATAGCCCTGTCGTGAATAAAATTTTCTAATATCTGGATTGTAAATTTTCATCCTCTTTTTAAAAATTACTAATCCCATAAATGAAATATTGTGTCCTATTAGAGTATCAGATAAATAGCACCTGCAGTTATAGGGAGACACTTGACAAGATGAAGAAGTTTTTTTTATGCTTACAGGAATCACCATGTAGTTGGAATGGTAATTTGCCAAAAGCTGCCACAACAATCTTGCATCAACATGCCATCCAGGGGGATGTCACAGACGTTCAACAGGCAGTCTGGTAAATAGGGAATCTTAGTTGTCCAAAGGACTGGTGGGTTTAATAAATCACTAGTCCTGCTGATTTCTCCTAAGTCTAGCTGTTTAAAGTAGTTGATCAAGTTGTGAAGTGAGGAGAGGGAGGAGGATTTTCCCTTCCTGCTGGTGGGGATCTGGAAAATTTTCAAAATGTAGAGAAATGCTATTCTAGTGAAATTTGAGGTGAAAAATGGAAATTAAATGACCAAGTTTTATCTTCTATATTGACTGATTCTCACATCAAGCCACAATGCATCAACAGAATTGTACTTTCATATATATTGGGTATGAGTTTTTATATTCTTTAAAAACGAGAGCCAATATTACACATAAAATGACAAGTTTACAGATATTTTATGCTCAAAAATTCAGCAGATTGCATTTTAATGAAGATATTAGAAACAGTTAGCTGAAAATCATTAGTAACCCAATTCAACATACTTTTAAAGGCAGCAATGATGTTGCATTCTAGACTGTTAGATCAAAGATAGGTCAACTCTGTAAACAATGATGTGTGAAATCAGAAAGGAACTTCTTTTTATTTCAGAGTATGAGTTCTTTTACTCGTCTACTCGACGTCTTATTAATTATATTTCAGTAGTCTTTAACAAAATTTACTTACCTCAAGCTAATGGACTAGTGTCGAACCATGGTTATACCTTGATCATTATAGTAATATATTAGCTTAGTAATGAAATTGTGACATTCAAAATAATTTCCTGAACTAACTTGCTGAGAATTTAAAGGGAGACTTCATCATCAGCTTGCCTATATCTACAGAAAACTATTTATGCATTTAGTCAAAGTGAATATGGAGTGGAATTTTATTCATAAGTTTGTTCTACAAAATTGTTATTGATTTTCCAGCAGATGGATGGCTTACAGCAGGAAACACATGGAGTATGCGTTTAGTTATGAACTTCTTCTTAAACTGTTAGAAGACTTGGACCACAAATGGACGGCAGATTCCTTGTCAAGAGAAGAGGTACTGTGATTATTTGGACTTAAATTCCAAGAATTGAATGGATTCTCCTTCCAGGACACAACCTTTTCATATAGTGCTTCATCAAATCAAAAATTTTGTTACATTCAATCCATATTTGTAGCAATGCTTCAAAACTGTCAAAAATTTTACTTTGTCACCTTATAAATCTGGAGGTATGAAAACACATTTATTGTTAATACTAGTAATCCCCCAATCCCCTGCAAATGAATCAGAAATGTAGAATTCCAAAAGTATCTAAAATGTAAAATTCTTAAAGACAGTACATTGTATTGGAGGAGCACACAAGGTCATAGCTGCACAATAATTGCTGTGACCTAGAGGTCAATCAGGGTTATTGACCATTTTTGTTTGTATGAAGTAAAGATCACATGAATCCGAAGTTATGAAGACTTATTGCACATGTTAATGAAGAAAAACATACTTGGGTATTTTTATGTTGTTAAGCAAGATCTGGCAGTCATTTCTTGGGGGGGGGGGGGGGGGGGGGGGGATTAGAACATCGGTTTTTAAAATGTTTGATTTTGAGAAAAAGATTTTTCTACCTACTAATTACAGGAGCAATGTTTGAATGAGTCCTTCTCGACCTTCAAAGACTATTGCACAAGTTTGATCAAAAAACGAAGAGAGGTCTACCCTTATAGCAATAAACATGCTTTGAATCGACTTCATCAAATGATCAAGTAAGTGCTCTCTACCATTGTTTTTCATCCAGTAGTGTGTTAAGGATGGAGCTTGATCCTTACTTTATCAGTGTAAGGATCCACCTGCACAACTTCATTAGTTCATCTGTTGGACCTATTGATTGTAACTTCAGTATAATATCTTAGGAAAAAAAAAACACTTGTTCTTTGTAAATATAGATGTACACAATGTATAAGTGAATGAATTAAGTATTTTATGCATTGGATATATAAGTAGGAGTAGGATTAGAAATTGGATACCGTAAGAAAAATTTTGTTGATTCAAAGTGTGTTGTTTTTGACATTTTGATTGATTGTGTTTCATAATGTGTTTTTCTTCAATAGAGTTTTGGTGAAAATCTACAGCATGAAAGTCTTCAAATACGTGTGTCCCTTTGCCAAGGAACTGCACTCGGAAATTATCACAGTTGCAAAGGTTTCTGTTTGTACACTTAATTAACTGAAAAATTGTTAAGGTGATACACAACATTTTAGAATTTTTCTAAGAGCAGAAATGTTTGACTTGTTGATTTCTTTTCTTCAGAGAGGAACACTTGAATGGTATGAAAGAGCAATTCATATGGCGAAAAAACAGTCGAAGGTAAATAGTAGGAAATAACGGACAAAGTTGATCTTGTATGGTTTGAAATGCCGTGAAGGATGTGGGTAATTCTGCATACATCTGTTGTAGAATATGTCGTGTTCAAAAACTTTAAAGAAAAGTTTAATGTTAGAATGTTTTCTTCCCCCAGCGCCACACTGCAGACCAAGAAGAGGACATTGTATACAGCTTGATTGATCTGACCAACTGTCTTAATGCTGATTTGTATGGAACCATCAATGAATACCAGAAAATATTTAATTTGTGGGTATATGGTTAAAAAATATATAATAGCATTGAAATATGAGTGAAGTTGTGTAGATTTTTTTTTTTTTTTAATTTTATCAACAATTGAAAACTTAAAGAAGAATTTGAATCAAATTCATTGGAGAGTCTAAAAAAAAAATAATTATTGATTATCAAAATTCATGCATAATTTAATTTTTGTTTTTGCAGAATAGCCAACATGAACTATTTCAGTATTACCTATAAACAACTAGAAAAACTGGTGAGTTTGACATTCAGGAATTTAGAAACAAATAACAGGTTTTAGGTTAATTAACAGAATGGGTTTTCTCCCCTGTAAGTCTGCAACAGCTTTTTTTCTTGACCATCTATCATTTAACTCTTATAGCATGTATGTATTGCTTATATCCTAATCATTACTATATAGTATAATCTGGAACACATGTTCACTTTTTCTTAACAGTGTAAACTAAATATTTAAAGTATATGAAATTACTCTGTAGATTATTAAGCAATGATAAATTTTTATTTGGAAGAGTTAGAGGACAAATTTTTATAGATAGCTATTGATTTATGTTATAGTATAACATATAGGTAGACATTCCAGAACTGTGCCAGTATATTGTGTGTGTCCTAAGAGCTTATATGTCATGTGTTTCTCCCTGTAGCACTCCAGTCATGTTGTCAAGAATCTCGAGGAAGAGGTCGGTGCAAGCTCTCACCTTCACTGATTTTCTTCTCTGTTGCACAGTCTCTTGTCTTTCTCCATGTGTGTATATGCTGCAAAATTTTTCCAGATGTACAGAATTTATCTTTTTTTTTTTTTTTTTAAATTTCTCTTAATTTCAAGATTTATTCTATGCTTAATTAAATAAATTCTGCAATTAAGTCTATTGCTTACATATGCATGAGGGAATGGGTCATTCACTTCACCGAGTTTTTCTAATCAAAATATTTCTGTTGTTCAATCTGCAATTATAGGTTTTAGCTCACCTGAGCTGAAAGCTCAAGTGAGCTTTTCTGATCACATATTGTCTAGCTGGCATCCGTCTGTAAACTTTCAATATATTTTGACTTCTTCTCCAGAAGCACTGGACCAATTGCAACAAAGCATCCTTAGGTGAAAGGGATTCAGGTTTGTTCAAAGAAAGAGCCATGCCTTATTTTGGGGGGGGGGGGGGATATTAAGAATGAGAAAATTTGATGGCATCTTTTAAAAATCTGAAGAACCACTGGGCTAGAAAAGATGAAAGCTTCTTGACATGTTTAGATTGAAGTTTGTTCAAATCATACCAAAATAGGAGATAAAGTTTTACATGGAAATTAATACACAGAAAAAAATTTCTACTCAAGAACAGCAAGGCCATGATTTGTCATATTAAAATTCAGGTGTGTAGATGCATGTTGTTCAAATCATGGCCCAAGGGTGCAGGGGTGGGGGCATAACAGGAAATTAGAGTTTTACATGGGAATGTAGAGGATTAAATCTTTTTTAAAAAAAATTCTCAAGACAGATTGGTTATGCAATGATTAGCTTTTGATAACCAAGCATCCATAAATATTGTTGTTTCAATTCAGGGTAGAACCTCAAGATCAGGGTACAAATAATATTATGTAAAAATTAAAAAAAAAATCCTTTAAAAAGTCTCAAGATCTTCATGGCCATAATTAGTTATAAAAATAAATATGATTTGATTGAATAATATCAGCATTTGAATTGCATAAAAAAAAAAATCACTTTTCTTTCTAGAACATGTTACAAATGTCTAACTCGTTATATTTATGAAAAGGTTTATCAAATTCATTTCCTTTGAAATGAAACTGAAGAAATCTGTGATACTACATGGATTCCCAGACTCTTTTTTTTCAGTGTGGATCTCATTTAAACTACAAAAGTGAAGAGATGGGTGATTTTTGACACTATTGTACACATCATGATTTATATGGTTTTTCAAATTTTTTTCTCTTGACTGATTTGCCTTTATGTCAAGAATATTTGTGTGAGCATTCTAGACTTCTTACATGTCTACAGCCATCTTGTTTGATTGATGGAAGTCTGTAAAGTGATTGGTTACAAATCTCAGTTTAAACCAAGTTGATTACAATCGTATTTTAGTTTAGAAATTGGGGTAAATGTGTATTGTTTTAATTGTGAATGATGAGTTGAAAGAGATCTGGAAACAGACTAGTGATTCCGAAATTTGGAAATGTACTCACTTGCTCACCCACACACAAGCCTTTACTATTTCCCCTTAACTCGATTGCAAGGGAATAATAAAAATTTCAAATGCTAAACCTCTTCATACAGTTGGAATTATTGTACAGTATTAGAGTACATGATGTTACATAATTTTTGTGCAATTACAAAGAACAAGGTTCACTAAGGACCCTTTATTGGCCCTGTGAATTTCTGAAAAATCAAAACTGCCCAGTTTTGGTTGACAATTCATTAATTAATATTTGGACACTTGGTGCCTGTGTATGTATTGAAAATAACACAATTTTCTCTTTAGTCAATGCATTGTGATTTCATGAAATGCATCATATAGAGCACAACCTTTGATCCAAAACATGCAATAACGTAATGAAAGATCTGTTTCTGAAAATTATAAAACATTTTTTTATTTTTGGGGATTGAGGGGTGTGCTTTGTTTTAGGTACTCAGATATGCCTGTTTTCTGCAAAATTCAAGAACTGTGCAAATTCACAAAGCCTGTTTTCCAATACCTGGACTCTCAAAAGAAACTTTCTTATACGAAATGAGAGCAGCAAGTCTCTGCTTTATTTTGATGTTAGAAATAGGACATAGATTGTTAGTCCATTAAGAACAGGGCCATTTTATCAATATCTAGACAAGATAAATGTTTAATGGTGTCATATTGCTAAAAACACAAAACATGAATTGTATTAATACAAATTATGAAAATAGTGTATTAAATTATTTCAGAATGTTACTCCTCCTCTTGTTTCGTTTGATTTGAATAAAACATGACACAGTGGAAGAGTTGACTGAATACAGATACAAATGTGATAGATTCTTCAGTATTGCTACTATATTACTGAAAAAAAAAAATGTTGTATAGGTTAATACATCAAGAGCTTTTGTTTCAATTCCTGTCTGATTTGATAAACATGCAGAGTAGATGCAGTCATTACTTTTGGGAAATACTCATTAGAATTTCTGAAATTATTTTTAATCCTGCTAGATCCTTTCTGTCAGTTCATATGAAGAATCTTTGAATACGTTCTATTTCCACTATGGAAGAGTTATACTTCTTAGTGCGTTCTTAAGTGAAAAAGTCGGAAAATGTACAAATCTCGCGGGATTTCTGGGACAAACGTAACATAAACATGTAAACAATATGTTGAATGTCGATGAACAAATCCTAAGAAAATGCAAATGAAATATTTTGTTGTTGTGGACTTTATATACATCAAGAGTAGGAATGACAATGATATCAATTTATATCTATTGTTGATCGTATCTATATGATATATCGTATGGTACATCTAAATACAATACACATGCCTCGGAAATGTCATATTTTTTATTAATGGATGATAAATTTAGGGTTCTCGCTCTCTTACATATGTCTTTTAGTTCTTCTATTCTTTAACTGGAATTACAAATACATTTAACATTTAAAATTGGATTGAGATTGGCACATTTTGTATTATCCGCAATGTGTTTTCATGTGCCAAGTCTCTATAATGAGAGGTTCATTCAAATTCTGGCTCAAATAAAATGCCAGAAGATTAATTTTTTGATAGTTTGTCACAAGAATATTTATGCACCCTTTCATGTCTTTCCTATTCTAACAGAGTTTTATTTCTTAATTAGTGTTCTACACCTACTTGGCACTGTCTAAATGCATTTTACTTCAATTGAAATTTGACATTTTTGTCTTGATTCGTCTCTATGAGGCATACAGAAGTCTAAAACAGGATTTATGTTATGCTAGTTAGCTTGTTAAATAAGTATGACTGATCCAAATATAAAATGAGCTTTTTTACCTCACCTGAGCTGAAAGCTCAAGTGAGCTTTTCTGATCACATTTTGTCTGTCCGTCTGTAATTTTATAAACATTTTTGACTTTTTCTCAAGAATCAATGGGCCAATTTCAACCGAACTTGCAACAAAGTATCCTTGGGTAAAGGGGATTCAAGTTTGTTCAAAAGAAGGGACCATGCCTTCTTCCAAGGGGAGATAATTACAAATTAGTGAAAAATTGATGGCATCTTTTAAAAATCTTCTTCTCAAGAACCAGTGGGCCATGAAAGATGAAACTTATATGGAAACATCCTTAGGTAGTGTAGATTCAAGTTTGTTCAAATCATGACCCCAGGGGTAGGGAGGGGCAGCAATGGACAATCAAAGTTTCACATAGGAATGCATTGGAAAAATCTTTAAAAATCTTCTTCTCAAGAACAGCAAAGCCATGATTGGTCATATTTATATGGAAGCATCCTCAGGTAGTGTAAATTCAGATTTGTTCAAATAATGACCCCTCCCCAAAGGGGTAGGTTGAACCACTCATAAAATACTGAACTCTTAGCCGAAGTGCTCAGGTGAGCGATGTGGCTCATGGGCCTCTTCTTGAAAAGAAGATTACCACAAGTAAATAAACTTAAAGAGTCACCTTGGTTTACAATATTAAAAGAAACATATTAACAAGAAAAAAATATAACACAAACTATAAGATTTAAATTTTATTTCTACAGTTGAACTTCGTTATCTCAAACACCAATTTCTTGAATACCATGGATTTGTAGAAGTGATTTGGAAGTCCCAACCACTTATTCTTTATGTATCTTACCCTCAACATCTCAGATCCTTAGATATCTCGAAATTTTTTCTTGGTTTCATTAAGTTTGAGATAACAAGGTTTAACTGTATGTTAAGTCTTCCAGCTATACTAATGATATTCTATAATGCATTTCAGCTTGGTGAAGAGTTTACTAACTGCATGAAGAAGACAACTTTCAGTAAAGGTCACAGAGTGATGGAGGGAATGCTGGGAACGACCTACTTTGAGCTCTACCTAGCCTTACAGGAGTTCTGTAATTATGGATGGGAACACCTACCTGAAAAGTATCTCCATCACTTAGGCTTAACATGATTTCCTTGAGATAGGATTCATTTTACAGCCAAATAATTAAAATTTCCAATTTTCTTTGTGCAGAATTTTTATCTTATTTTCAGTCATGACCGTTTAGAAATAGAACAGTACTACAAATGGTTCCGTTTTGCTGTAACTCAGTGGATTTCAGTGGCACAGGACAAGGCCGTCCATCGAATACACAAAGCCATTGAGCTTGATAAGGTGAAATTTCTTAAAGTTATCTTAAAAGTGGAAATGCAGTCTCATATTAATAAACCTCCACTACAATATATCCATATACATAGTGGTACTCTAACTCTCTGACTGTGTTCTTTCTGTATTAGTCAAATCTGTAAATTTTCAGTTTGTTATCTCTGTATTATATACAGCATCTATCATCCAAGGTTTGTATCTTTATTGTTTTGAGTGAGAGCACTATGAAAAAATAAAAATTCACAGTTATTTCCCTTTAATCGTGATCATTGCTGGAAGTTGGCATGTTCTCCAGTTTCAACATTTACAATATCTGACTGTTGTGACACAGAGCATTGCACATATGTGAATCTAATAATGCACTGCTAAAACGTGTGATAATATTGAAGTATATGTGTTCAAATTGTATGCATTGGGTGTAAATGGCACATTGTTTTGGTGTGAATTAATATTTAACTTATGAGTGATATTAATTTAACTATCCTATTTTAATAGTAAGAAACATATCACTATTTAAAGAAACATGCTAATTTATGCAAATGAATTTATGATTAGAGAGGGGGAAAAACTCTTTTTAAATTGCTTTTCAGTTGATGATATTATTTTAAATCTTTTCTTCCTCCAGACAGCTGATGTTGGAGGGGCAGGAGCCAAGTTTAGCACCTCTGCTGTTGATGTGTGCTGCTGTTTCTCTCAGGTTTGCCCATTTCTTGATTCATATTGATCTTTGACAAAAAACAAAATGGCATTAAATGTATAATCATTTAAGTATGTATTCTTATTTGCTAGTTAATATTAATTTGATTGTAATGAACTGTCTACAAAGTCTTTGAAATACAAATTTGGGGTTCAGAAAGGAGATTCCAGGATAAGGCCAAGTTGGTCATATATTGAAAATGCATATTTGAAAATTTTCCGTATTCCTGGCCATCTGTCAGGAAAATGGTTTGCATGAGTATATTTTTAACAGTTTTTAATGGCAATAGTATTGATTTGTTATAGTTCTAATAACTTTAAAATCAAAGATAACTTTACTTCTTAACACAAGTCCTTGAGAATATGCTATATGACATCAACCTTCAGTCTTCCTGAGATCATTGTTACAGATTAGCATAAAATTGAGCAATTAAGCTTTTGGCAACAAGAAAAGTTCTTCTTTTTTTTAGGTTTTCACAAGCTATAATTTCTTTTTATGCAAAGTTTGCAAAAAATTATAATAGAAACATTAGATGAAATGAAATGCCTTTCTGTAGGGGTTTTTGTTTTAGATTTCAGAGTTCTGGAGACAGCTTGCCTGGCCTGATCTTATTGATTCATATTCCATGGTATCAAAATTAACCAAGGTAGGACAAGCAACAATTTTTATTGTTTACAAAAATAAATTATAGTGTGACTTCTGAGGAAGTGTCACCTGATTGTTTGTCCATCAGTTTTTCAGTTCCAATACCGATGTTCGTTAACTTGCAATCCTTCTGTCTCTTTGAAGATGAATAGATCAAATATTATCATTACTTTAGATAATTTACATATTTTGTCAAAGCTTGTTGTTAGTAGAATTGGCCTGGTCATGAGAAATTAATAGTGGTAGAAGTGAAACAGTAATGAACTAGGATAACAAGTTAACAAAACTTGGCTTTTTTGACTCAAGATTTCATGATTTTCTTACTTTATTTCTAGTTTATATATTTTGTCAAAGCTTGTGGGTAGTAGAATTAATGAAATTTTTTGGGGGGCATAAAAATCCCTTAGAAGTTGCAATCTGCTAAAAAAAAGTTTCTGTCCATATACTGACAATAGCATATAGCATTTTTTTATATGCTATCATTGGTATTTGGCACATTTTCAGAAAAAAATTATATATTAACAGGATATGTGTGAATGTGCAAGGATATATGCTGACTCGGTCCACCAGAAACTCATTGACAAAGGCTATTATGATGAGGAAGGACAATTTGATGTCACTGAACAGGTAAGTTAAGGTGTAAGAAAATATGGATGATTATATGTCACAGAACAGGTAAGTAAAAGTGCCACAAAACAGGAAAAAAATAGGTGTCACAGAACAGTTAAGGATAGGAGTCACAGAACAGATAAGGATAGGTGTCACAGAACAGTTAAGGATAGGTGTCACAGAACAGTTAAGGATAGATGTCACAGAACAGGTAAGGATAGGTGTCACAGAACAGTTAAGGATAGGTGTCACAGAACAGTTAAGGATAGGTGTCACAGAGCAGGTAAGGATAAGTGTCACTGAACAGGTAAGGGAAGCTGTCACAGAGGAGATAGGATAGGTGTCACAGAGCAGTTAAGGATAAGTGTCACAGAACAGTTAAGGATAAGTGTCACTGAACAGGTAAGGAAAGCTGTCACAGAACAGTTAAGGAAAGCTGTCACAGAACAGGTAAGGAAAGGTGTCACAGAACAGATAAGGAAAGCTGTCACAGAACAGGTAAGGATAAGTGTCACAGAACAGTAAAGATGGGTGTCACAGAACAGTTAAGGATAAGTGTCACAGAACAGTTAAGGATAGGAGTCACAGAACAGTTAAGGATATAAAGTGTCACAGAACAGTTCAGGATAGGTGTCACAGAACAGTTAAGGATAGGAATCGCAAAACAGTTAAGTATAGGTGTCACAGAACAGTTAAGGATAGGTGTCACAGAACAGTTAAGGATAGGTGTCACAGAGCAGGTAAGGAAAGGTGCCACAGAGCAGTTAAGGATAGGTGTCCCAGAACAGTTAAGGATAAGTGTCACAGAACATGTAAGGATAGGTGTCACAGAACAGGTAATGAAAGGTGTCACAGAACAAGTAAGGATATAAATTGTCACAGAACAGTTAAAGATAGGTGTCACAGAACAGTTAAAGATAGGTGTCAAAGAACAGTTAAGGATAGGTGTCACAGAACAGTTAAGGATAGGTGTCACAGAACAG